ACAAGGCCCGAAAAGCAAAGAAGAGAGATGGTAATGAAATTCCTTGAGAGGCAAGTAAGAGGCCGCCATTTAATCTCCACACTTGAGCTCTTCATCCTCTTCCCACTCTGAGGCTCTTTACACAAATTAAAACAACACCCTTTCATCCTCAACTCTTGAACATATCTTATAACTGCTCTGTTCTCACTCCTCTCCCTCTGCAACTCCCCTGCTGCCTTCCAATACCCCCACAATTTCACCTGCACCCCACCATTTGTGACACACATTGGGATTATAGGAAGTGAACATGAGGGTCAGAGACAGGACATTGAAGAGGAAGAAGTAGCAGCAAAGTTGGAAGATTTGTTGCTTCAGACACTCCAATTTGGTCTATCGGTGACCAATTTGGAGGCCGAACAAATGCTCGTCTCGTTGCCAGAGTTTTAAGAGCAATAGATGACCTGAGCTTTCTGAAATTTGGCTCAATGGATGCTCTTGGATTACAGAGATCATAAGGTTTTGATTCCGATTTTGGTTATCTTGTTCGTCTAGGATTTCGACTATGTGGGCACCCGAATCTTTGGCTTCAGCCATCGGTGACGATTGGAGAAGTCGAGATTAGGATTTCGTTAGAGCGTTTAAAGGGATGTTCTTGGAGTGAGATTTAAAGGGTTTGTTGATGACTGATGAGTGATCTTTGTGATCCTCCAACGGATATATTTCCTCCCATTCCAACGGTCGAATTTTGTTTTATTTTTCTTTTATGTTTGGGCCTTCGATGTTTCGGCCCATTATTCCGTTCTCTCGATTCAGTGATCACTTCTGATCTTTCTAGAGATGCCTTTGGGACAACTTTCTTGATTACTAATACAACTATATCATCAGTTACTAGCTTCTATAATTCAAATACACATCAATTCTCGGGCTCTAAAGTTATTAGGGTGAATTCACTCATTAGTTTGTCAATTAAGCTTATATATAAATGATTGTCTGTTAATGAAATATGAGATTCAATTAGTGGGTCCCGAATTGGCAGCTCGACAAGTGGTATCAGAGTCAAAAGTTTGGTCAAACCATGACTAGTGAAAGAAAAAAAATCGTATAAAAGTACACTCTCGGAATCGTGTGACGCCTTGTTATATAACTGAAGCGATATTTGATATTTAATATCAAATTTATTGTAAGTAACAAATAATATAAATTTATATTTTCTAAAGAGAAAAAAATAATAAATTTATAATTATTCATAAAATAAAATAAAAAAGATATTTTATTTCTAAATATTTTAGACTTCAAAATTCCCTCCCTTCAAGCCTTTTGAATAGCCCACCTTCCTACTCTTTCTCTCCCTCTAACTTCAACATTTTCATTATCCCCATTTTACCCCTCTAATTTAAACTTAATTTTTTTATTTTAAAAAAAAAAACATGAGACCACGAACAATAATGTGTGGTTTTGTTGGAGTCTCTTAATTTTTCCGAATTTATTTATTTTTTAAATTATTGAATTCAAATTTTTGTTTAAAGGGTATATCTGTAATTGAGTCTTCTTTGTAAAAAAAGAAGAAATCTCATTTCAGTTACTCTGCAGTTCGACATTCAAGCAAAAGTTGTTGGCTGAATTCACTGAATTTGGAAGACCTGGCTGTAGTTCCGAGTATAAAACGAAACCAAAGCACGATGAAATTTCCAGATTCAAGCTGGCTTCATTCAAAAGAAAATGCAAAAAAAGCTGTAAGTGGATTTCGATCATTTGATTTCTGTTCTTTTTCAAGAATTTATGGATTAGTTTGGTTTGTTTCGTGGATTTTCTTCTGTTTTTTTGTTTTTTTTTTTTGTTTTTTTTGCCTTGATTCTAGAAAATTTATTTGTCTGAAAGAAATATGATGATCTTTGAAGATTTCTTCATCTAAACCTGAGTTCATTTTTGCTTAAATTCGTAATATACGTGTTTCTTGAAATGGATTTCTTAAAATTCTTTCTATTTTTCGTTTTTTTTTTCTTCATAAACTGAAGGTTTTGTTGAGAGAATAGTGCACTGATGAAGATGAAGAAGAAGAAGTGGAATTTGTTTTGTTCTCTGAATTTGTAATGGTTCTTTTTTCTTGATTTTGATAAGTTAGGGTTCTTGGATTCATTCATGTTGTTATGTTGGGTTGAAGTATGATGAATTCACTTGCATTGTTATGTTTGATTTCAGTGTCCAAATGCATATGGAATTTTCGGAGTTTTCTGAGTGCACGAGAATCGTACACAATCGGATCAGTAGAATAGATCCTGAGAATGTTAGGAAGATCATTGGTTTCCTACTTCTTCATGATCATGGTGATCAAGAAATGGCTCGTTTGGCGTTAGGGCCTGACCACTATATGCTTCAAGTTGTTCACTTAGTCAAGACTGAGCTGCATTTAATAGCTCTTAGATCGATGCCGCTCTCTATGTTGACCCCGGAGACGCCCCTGGCCTTGCCCCCATCCCCGCCCCCATCCCCGCCCCTGTCCAGGTCCCTTCCCACGGGGGGTTTCATTCCTTTTGCCTTGTCCCGAAACAGGCTATTTCCATCTTCCCCTTCAACTCCCCAACAGCTGACTGACAAACCTACTCCCGATTTCATAACATTGAGCTACACTGATTCTATGTATGAACTCCAAAATCCAGCTCAGTTTTTTAGTTTAGATGATCATGTTGAACCACCAAACTCTGGCCTCTCTGGCTATGATTGTAGCTATGTTGATCATGCCGGACTTGTCAACAACTTGAGTACTAGGACTACTGCCCGCCATTACTCGACTGTGCCTGAGTATCATCCGAAGATATGCCACTACTACAACAAAGGATATTGCAAGCATGGATATGGTTGTAGGTATCTCCATACAAACCCCATATTTGAGAGCGTTTCTCAGGTGTATAATGGAAATTCTGTCAATGAAGATCATGTTTTTCGGCCTGGTTCACTTGAGAAGTTGGAGTTTGAAATTGTTGAGCTTCTTAAATCAAGGAGGGGTAATCCTATTTCAATTGCTTCACTGCCAATGATTTACTATGAAAATTATGGAAAAGTTCTTCAAGCAGAAGGATACCTGACTGAGAGTCAGAGGCATGGTAAATCAGGCTTTAGCTTGACGAAGCTTCTCACTCGATTGAAAAGCATTCAGGTCATTGACAGGTCGGTATCACATTTGGTTTTAAGATACCAAATCAAGCTTCTGATTTTAGTGAGGTATCTATATGCTGAACTTTGGTTTGAATGTCTTTCAGGCCTCATGGGCAGCATGCAGTCATTTTGGCAGAAGATGCTCCAAGATTCATAGATCATCGAACCGAGAAGAACGACCATGGTCCACATGGTCCAATCGTTAGCAGTGCACGACAGATATATCTGACATTTCCAGCTGACAGCAACTTCACTGAAGATGATGTTTCTGATTACTTCAGGTAAATGCCTGGTTTAGACCTTCCCTTGATACAATTTATTGGCATTCTCTTGGCTTCTAACTGTTGCACATATCTTGTGTGTAGTGACCAGTATGGATTGGTTGAAGATGTAAGGATCCCATGCCAACAAAAAAGGATGTTTGGGTTCGTGACCTTTTACAATATCGAAACTGTGAATCTAATCTTGTCACAGGACAATGAGCATTTAATTTGCGGGGCTCGGGTTCTCGTGAAGCCTTACAGAGAAAAGTCGAAGCTGGACAGGTTAATATTTTGTTTGTTTAGTCCGACCAGATTGGCTTGAACTACTTGTTTTGATTCTTATTTTGTTTCAGGAGGAACCAAGAGAAAATAGAACAGCAAAAGCTATATTATGCTTCACACTATAACAACAGTCTCGAAACTGAGCAGCTTCACTCAGGTAAGTGTTCAGAACCGAATCGGATACCCCACGTTCTCATTTCCTATTTGTTGGATGTCTGGTTTATATTCAATGATTCAGGCTATGAGGACTCCAGAATGTTCAACCTCAGGATCGAGCAGCAGCAGCAGCAACAGCAGCAGCAGCAACAACAACAGCAACAGCAGGCATACGAAGTTGAAAGGAGGCTTTCAGAGATGAATTTAATGGTTAAATCTGTAATGAATCAGCCATACTTCAGCTATCAGATGAAGCAACTCGATGTTCCAGAAGGTTGATTAGCTTTCTGTTTGAAACAAACTCCTTCGAATTCCTCTCGTTAACAATTCAGTTTCACATGTGCAGATCATTTCAGTTTCCCAATTGCAGAAAGGTTAGACAATCTGTTGGATGCTCTGAAAACTGGCGCCGGTGCCAGTGCCAGTGCCAGTGCCAGTGCCAATGCTGGTGTCGGTGCCGGCTCTAGTGGTCATAATAATAAGCCAGCCGAGGCCGACTGGAATCACCTTGTCATCGACCTTGAAAGGTACAAAAAAAAGAACAAAAAAAAGCATAGATTTTCATGGTAAATGGCTAATGATCTTGAGGTTTGTTTGTTGTTGTTGATGATGGCAGTGAAGGATATAATCTACCAGAGAGCCCATTTGAATCTCCAACAGGAAGTAGCATATAGGATGGAAGTGACACATTCACACACTCACGTAGGATTATCAAACCAGCTTTACTTACAGAAGGAAGGAAGGAAGGAAGCATAAAAAGAACCGCTGATTCTCATTCATTTCATTTCATTCATTCATTCGTTTCATTCATTCACGACAGTAATCTTCTTCGCTACCAGTTCAATCATGACAGCGTATGTATGAACATAGTTATCACGCATGAAGATTCTAAGGTTTCTTATTTCTCAGAATAATTTCAGGTTACAAAAGAACCAAGTTTGGTGTTTAGGGATAGAAAGATAGGATTTTGAAGTGTTTCTTTTTTGTTTGGTAGGTGTAAGAAACCACGTCTTTTGAAAAGATTGTGAAATGTTATTGGAATCTTCATGCAATGAATAAGTCGATGAGTTATCATTTATTGTTAATTGTTTTTCTAAGCTTATTTGTTGTTCAAAATGTGAAAGAGGTGGGAAATAGGCAATGATATGCTTACTCATAATCTGGAAATATGTTGTGAAGGAGGTTGGAAATAGACAATAATATTCTTTCTCATGATCTGGAAATATGTTGTGGTGATTGATGTCGAACCCCTTTGTGAAGTCTATGTCGAACACAGAAGTCGAGCGGCTTGTGATTGCTGCCCGTGCTTCATCTCATAATCTCGCAATATGTTGCGGAGATCGATGTCGATCCCCTTCGTGAATAAATAATTTTTAAGAAATGTCGGGTAATAGGGGGGCGGGCTTGACACCACAGGTGAAGTTGGTGGTTGGCTCGAAAATGCAACGTGTCCCAAACAAATCAACAAACTATTTCCTCTTTTATTCCCCTAATTTTCCCTCCTTTCTCCAACCCAACCATGGAAGCCTTGCTCCCAATTTCTACCTCTCCCTTCCGATTCCTTCCCACAGCCAATGCCAGCCCTCGTCCCGTTTCTCCTTTCCCCCTCAATTTGCGTTCAAATTCGCTCAATAAGCGGAGACGAACGCCCACGTTTGCGGCCATTGATGGCGCTTCGCTTGCAGCAGCAGCAGCCGATCCCACTCAGGTTGAAATCACTTGGCAGATTGTCGTGGGAGCGATTGGTAATATGAATCAATGATTTTCATGTTTGATTGTTTTTATCCCAATCTGATTGATGGATGGCGATTTTGGTTGTAGCTGGAGTGACCCCGTTCGTGGTGGCCGGAATCGAGTTCAGCAAGAGGATTGTGAGTTAAGGGATTTGGAATTACTTGTGTTTTGTCTTGTTTTTTTGGTTCTTTTTCTTAGCTTTGGGAATGAAAATGGCAGGTGGCTCAGAAGAGATGTAAAGAATGTGGTGGTTCGGGGCTTGTTTTGATGGACAAAGACTACTTCCGTTGCCCTGAATGCGGTATTTGTTCTTCCATATCTGAGTACTTTTGTTCGATGTTTTTGAAGTGTTTCTATGAACATTTTCAGGATATAGTGATAATTCTGTTGCTGAATTTAGTCTCTTAGATTTTAATATCTTTTAACTCTATCATTTGCTTGAGAGAATGTTAATATTGTTTGATAGTAAGCCACCTCGAACACATTTGGCTTGGTTTTATCAAAATTCCCCTATACTTTGGGCAGAAATTTTGGGTTTTCCTATCTTATTTATTGGCCTAATGGAATATAGCCAGCTTATCATGAACCAATTTTAAACTAGATTGAAAATGTTTAAACAAGAACCAAATTTATGGGGGAAAAAAACACAAATAAACTAAATTTTATGAGGGAAATAAACAAGATGAACCAGATTTTAAACTAGAATGCCCGACTTATCAATTTATCCAGTAAACTATTGGGGGCTCATGTAGCCCATGCCAGATTAATCGTATTCTGGGCCGGAGCAATGAACTTATTCGAAGTGGCTCATTTCGTATCTAAGAAGCCCGTGTATGAACAAGGATTAATTTTACTTCCCCACCTAGCTACTCTAGGTTGGGGCGTAGGTCTTTAATAGGTAGAGTATGTTGAGAATTGTTAGGAGAGGAGTCCCACACCGACTAATTAAGGGATTGATTATGGGTTTATAAGTAAAGGAATACCATCTTCATTGGTATGAGACCTTTTGGGGAAACCAAAAATAAAGCCAAGAGAGTCTCCTAACAGAGTATTATGTTAGTAAGCTTCTTCTTCTTCCCTCTTGACATTTATAGGTTTGGCAGGTGGTTTTTTGCCATGGCAATCGTGGAGGCGATTCTTTTCGGGCTAAAGAAGACAATCATTAGTACGTCTCTTTTAAAGCCCTGTAATTCTACAGATTTCAAAGAAAGGGTTCAGGATCTTCTTCCTTGATGGGGAGGCGAGGAACAAAAGAAGCAATCCGTTCGGTAATTGTATGTATTTGTGGTATAAAAAGCTATTTACAAGTTCACCAAGTTTCTTAATTATTACTTGCATGCTTAATAATGTTGATAGTCAATTGTTGAATCCAAGTGCATAAGTTTCAGGATTAAATTTTACCATCAGCCTATTTTTACAAGAAAGCTGTAAAATCTCTTTATATTAGGCCATTTTGCTCTTTGTCACATGAGATGTGCAGACTCAAGCATGTTTGATTAGGATTATGGGGGATGTTGGGAAACAGAATTTGTAATCTCTGACTGATTTCCACTAGCATTATGTATGATAAAGCACTCACAAACCTATGATTCTTTTTTAGCAATCACATAGTTTTTGTGCAATTATTTGAATTAATGAATTCGGTTTTCCTACTTGATTCAGTGATTACACATCTATTCTGTTAGTTACGCATTTGTATAGAACTAATGGAGTCCTGGGTAAAAAGTTTTAAACAATTATGCTCTGTGTTGGATTTTTCTGAATGTTTTTGTTGTTCTGGGTGGTGTTAAAAGGATGAAAGTCCTACTTTGGCTAATTTAGAAAATGATTATGGGTTTATAATCAAGGAATACTATCTCCATTGGTATGAAGCCTTTTGCTCAAAGCAAAGTCACGAGAGTTTATGCTCAAAATGGACAATATCATACCATTGTAGAGAATCGTGTTCATACACTTGGATTTTTATCTAGCAATGAGCTGATTCATATACTGTAACAGTCTAAATTCACTACCAGCAGATATTGATATTGTCTTGTCTGCTTTGGCCCATTACGTATCGTCATCTGCCTCACAGTTTTAAACGCTAGGGAGAGGTTTCCACACCCTTATATTTATTCCTCTCTCGGTTTCCAACCGAATAGACGTAATTGTGTGAATCTTGTTGGAGGTTAATTGTGAATGTCATCCTAATAGTATGATATTGTCCACTTTGAGCATAAGCTCTCATGACTTTGTTTTGAGTTTCCCCAAAAAAACCTCATATCCTTGCCTATAAACCTCATGATCATTCCTTAAATTAGCCAAATGCAGGACTCACTCTCGAACAGTCTCCCCTTAATTGAGGCTCGACTCCTTTCTCTGGAACTCTTAAACAAAGTACACTCTTTGTTCGACACTTTAGTCACTTTTTTACTACACTTTCGAAGCTCACAACCTTTGTTCGATATTTGAGAATTCTAATGGGAACTATGTGAAACACTCACACTTTATTAAAACCAATCGAGAACAGATTTACAAGTAACTATTACTTTGTTTTTCCTTAAAATATCTAGATCAGGTATCTTTATTCAAATAAATATACAATGGGTTCGTACAAATAAATACATCAGGTATCTTTAACCATGATTACTTTCTGGAAATTTTCTTTGACTTGAAAAAAGAACAAAAAAAAAAAAAAAAAATTTATGATATTTTCATAATGAACAAAGTGGAGTTTCATTTCAATGACAATGACAAGAAGGGTATCAATATTTAACCCCATTTGACTTAAATACCCCAAATTGTAACACTTTTTAAGGTTTTACATTAACATTGTTACACGAATCTAAGTTTTAGATCTAATTTTAAATAATTAAATAAGTTTAATGCAAAAAAGTGGTTTATTTTTGTTTAAAAAAAAGTAATGAGAACCCATAATATATAAAAAAAAATATAATATGATATCAACAAAATATTGTTCTAAATTAGATGTTTTAACCATGATTATCTTTATATTATTTTCTGGATTGAGTTTATAATATTTTTAGATTCAATTTTGTTGGTAATTTTTTTTTTAAAAAAATTGTAATTAAGTAATAAATTAACTCTGGGTTGTTTGAATAATTTATTTATTTATTTATTTATTTATTTATGTGTGTATATTTTAAAAAATTAAGACAAATAATGGAATAAACTCAATTCATAAAAATTTTACCATCAAATGAGTTTATAATTAAATTCAATTTATGTGAATTTTTTAGATTATTGAGTCTTTTAAATATTTAAAAGCTCAACCGGAGCAAGAATTGAGACAAAAAAAAATATTAATTACAACAGCATGACATATCTGCTTACGTCACTAATCCACCGACTCTTGGAAGCAATGTGAATTTGTAACTGAGCAACGACAAATGTGATTACAATGTTTGACTTTGACCATTTTCAGCCATTCTTCCAACCAAAATAACTAATGCCACGTGGAAACATATTACTGGCTTAATTCTACCACGTAGATTCTGAAAATAGCTTCACACGTGGATAATCACAAAAGATAAATAATAACAATAATAATAATAATAATAATAATAATTTACGTTTAAATTATATTTTCATCCTTCAATTTATATACTTATTTAATTTGGTTAAGAAAAGAAAAAAAATCATAATTTATTCCTAATTTATAGCAATTTAGTCCATATGGTAGATTTTTCAATAATTTTAAATGATAAATATAAAAACTATATTTTTAATTATATAATTGGGTTTAGAGATTAAAATATTAAAATGGAAAAGTTTTCCATTTTAATATTTTAAAGTAAAGCATATAGGTTGAATATTTTATGAGAAAAGAAAAAAAAATAGCATTTAAAACACGTGAAAATTTGGTCAAAATAAATTAAATATTGAAATAATTAGAGTCAAAAGAAGTAGGTTTTTGAATAATGGACCAAAATGTTTATGGTAATGATTGATATAAATTAAGAAAATTGGTTCCAGTTCGAGACGTAATGGTTATGTCACCAATGGTCGGTATTAGCTCTTCCAAATAATATCGTGTTAATAAATGAAACAAAAGTAGTTGGTTTGGAACTAACCTGTAAGCGTGCAAGAGATAATTCGAGCATCGACCTCGTGTCATGTGCCACATATTTTTATGTGGTTAAAGTAGTCAATTGTTGATCAGTGGTAAGGTCTTTTATATCTTTTCGTGAAGGTGGACTCCCAATATTTATAACTCTTTTACAAGGTTCGGGTATCGTATCGTATCGTATCCTTGTTATGGTACTGGTGCCAACTGTGTGTAGTCTTCGGTTGTCATTAAAGCTCAATGAGTGAATGGTCAATGTATTCCGTATGTGCTGCTTGGCATAGGGCTGGATTGTTCAAAGCTTAAGTGTTTTGATAACATTAGGTGGGTCTAAGACTATTGGACGAGTCCTAGGTCAGCCCATGATTGACCCTGAATTGATATGTGCATTTGTTAGGGTGATATGTTTGTTAATTGGTGCAGCGATGGTGGTGTCATCGTTATAATGATGTAGTCACTTCTCGTTGTATGGAGCATCGCTTGCCCTTCGCACCTTGGTTGATAGTCCGATGGAGGGTTAATACGTGGGAGGTGACCCTTAGATCTAATTGTCACGACTCTTTGAGTATCAGGTACGACTTCATTGATTATAGAGTTATGTGGTCAAATGTTTGAAAGTATTTTTCGTTCGTGTATTATTTTTCTTAGTCCATCTCTCATTATGTCACGGTTGATTCCTGAACAATTCTAACTTGATAGTATTGACCTTTTGAAGAAGTCACTAGGTATGGTCGAGTCATCCTAGTTGTGGTAGGTGGCTTAGTTGAGTTGAGAATGAGTTATTGTATTCTCCTATCCATTGAGCTACGACTATCGAACCTTAGGAATTGATCCTGAACAATTGTATTCTCGTATCGATCACATGTTCTCTTACAAGATTTGACTTCGCTTGCCACCTTCTGTTGATCGATACGAGATTTGCCCCTACTCAGCTTGTACCCATTGGTTGGTCTATATTATTCTCGTGTATTAGAGATCAATACAATCTTTGAAGGATGAGAATGACCTTAAATCGCTAAGGTCTAGGAAGCGAAGCGGTAGGTCGACGCATCTCCACTAAAGAAGACTCGTTATTTGAAACAACAAGGACTTTATGGTTGACTACAACAACATCCTAACACTATCATCTCGTTTTTTTTTTACCTACCTATTTCTTCTCTTAAAACGATGTCTCGATTTGTGTCCAAATAACTCCTTTAATTTTCCTAATTCTTCTAAAATATTTAAGATAGCTCCAAATTGCCGCCCACAAAAATAGACAAACAAGCTGGTAAAACTAGCAAAGCTAACATTAAATAAGGCATACAAATAACACACGTTTAACGTTTTTAATGTTCATACACAAAAAATGAATTCACAACGTTTCGATTATTGAGACACCACATGTGCTGGCCTTAAAACGTGAAATTAATTTTATGTACTTTCTGTCTTAAATAATTAAGTAGGTTAACATATAAGTACGACATTCCTATTCTAAGAAAGAAAAATAAATGTTTGATCCGTCTATATTTATATTTATTATGTTATTAACGGGAGACAAATAAATGACTAAATTAAAGATGTTCATATTATTTCGGAGAGGGGTAGGATCCTATGGGGACCTGCCCCGAGTAGGGAGAAGATTCTCCGTTTAGATGAGAAATGGGGAGGGAGTAAAGAACATTTTTTTTCCTTAAATGAGGTCGAAGACGAGATTATATTCCCTGTTCCTGTCCAATTTTCTGCTTTACACCGTTTTTGTCCCGCTTAAACGAAAGACCGTATTATCCGTGATAAACTCGATCCCCACAACTTCTTTACGGGAAATTTTTGTCTTGATCCTACAAAAATAAATAAGAAATTTCACGAGAATAGTCGAAACATCTTTCAAAATAAAATAATACGATAAAATATATAATATTGAAGATCGAGAAAATAAAAAAAAGATTGGTACGCCAATACTTTTATTGCTGCAAAGACAAAATAAACGTGTGGGCCAATTTCCCACGTGGGAACGGTTTTTTTTTTTTTTTTTTTTTTTTGCATTAAATTTTTAATTAAAACAATATATTAATCCATTTTTCAATTTGTATTTTTGTATTAAATCTACAATTATTATTTTAAATTCTAATTATACTTTATCATATATTTATAAATCAACACAAAATTAAGAATAAATTATTATCAATTAATTTATCAACATATTTTATTATAAGTTTTGTATAATTATTATGACTATAATTTAAAATATTTTAATATAATTTTTTTAAAACTTAAAATCCAAAATTTGGATTTAATAAAAATATAAAAATAGTTTTAAAGTTAGTACCTAATTTAATGGTTGAGATTATTATTATTATTATTATTATTATTATTATTATTATTATTATTATTATTTAGTTAAGAAATATTCACAATGTTTAAGACATTTTAATTTACCCAATTTTTTGTATTTGTAATATAACAATAATAATAAATAATTTTAATATTATTTGAAAATTTATAATGGTATTAACTAGATATTTTATTATTATTGT